GTTTTTAAATCAGTAATCATTAAATATGTTGCAGAAAAACTAGAACTTAACATGTCAAGCCATGATTTTATGGTCATTATCACTCAGGATAAGGCTAAATTTAAGAAATGGATTGATTTAAAGAAAATTAATAATAAAGGATCACACATATGGAAAAACTCCCAAAGGTGGTTTGTGTGTACATTCTGAGAGCCCAGTTAACAGACAAGGGGACCTGAGTGACACTGAGTTCCATCCTTAATTGCTATTTTATTATCTTATTATTGATGCATCCATTCCACTAACATTCGCTGCCTGCCAGCTGTGTACTAGGTATTGTGTCTCGTATGGAAGATACTACAGGCCTGGTGTTACCCCCTTGGTACTTAGAGTTGTGTGTAAGGGGACATAACAGTCATGACTGGGGCTGAGGCAGTGAAGGAAAAGAATGTGGCACTCACTGTGTGCCACACGGTGCTGGGAGGGCTGCCCTGGAGCAGTGCTGCCCAAGTGAGCTTTAGGGACATGGGTGGTAAGTAGGGGCAGGCAGAAAGCTTTCTAGGCCCAAGGAGTAGTATAGTTTGAGTGTGGAGATTGAAGAAGGATGAGAGTGGTGGGTTTGAGGAACTGAAAAAGGCCATTGTGGCAAGAGTACAGAAGTTGAGAGAATCATTGAGGGCAAACACACCAGATCTGTAGTCCATGGCAAGGGTTATAGACATTATCATGTATTTACCGTTGCCTCCAGGTGCTTAGCAGTCCCTGCATGGTACAAAGGGTTAAGCACTCAGTACTACACAAAAGGTTGAACATTTGGATACAACCTCAGAAGACAGGCCTGTTGATCTATTTCCAAAAGGTTACAACCATTGAAAACCTTATGGAGCACAGTTCTAACTCTGAAACGTGGCATCACCATGAATTGAAATGGACTCAACAGGAACTGGTATGTTTTTTTTTCCAGGTGCTTAAGTCTTATGGAAGGAGCTCTGATGGCACTGTAGTTAAGGCTGCTAACCAAAAAGTTGGCGTTTTGAAACCACTAGCTACTCTGGGGGAGAAAGATGGGGCAGTCTGTTTCTGTAAAGATGTATAGCCTTGGAAACTCTATGAGTCAGAATTGGCTCAATGGCAGTGGGTTTGGTTTGGTTTGGTTAGGTCTTATGGCAGGCTTATGAACACATAGATTGTCTTTTGAGAAGTGCTATGTTGTATGACCCAGAGGCAGGGGAAACGCGGAGAGGATAGGGACCACTACGAATGAAAAGCCAGTGACATTTGAGCTTTGAAGGATAAGTGGGAGTTTGACAGGAGGGAGAGAAAAGGCGTAGAAATGGTAGCAGGTACAGGATGAGAAAGGACACAGAAATATGCAAAAAGCTCAGAGAGTTTAGTGAAATGCCAAGAGCCTACAGTGGGCAGCAGAAAGGGAAGAGGGCCAGAGGGTCAAGTTCATAGAAGGTCGTGAGGCTCAAGCCAGATTTGAAGTTTCATTCTGCAGGTAGTGAGGAGCCAGGGAGCAAGAGAGTCCTTCCCACATTGTTAGGACGATTGCTCTGCTGACACGTGCAGACGGGGTTGGGAGGTGGGTGAGGGGCAGCACTGCCACCTCTACCTAGTGAGGTGTGGAGGTGGCCAGGCCTGGGCAGGGGTAGGGGCTGGAGGAGGGGCCCTTTTCAGTATGACTGTAGCTCAGGGCTATGGACCTTGACCCTCTCTGCACCCCACAGCCTGGCTGGCATGGTACGCAGAGCAGAGACCTCTCATTTCAGGGCCATGGGTTTCCTGGTACACCGACTTTGAAGACCAGAGGCCCTTCCAAAAGTGTCAAGATTCCAGCCAGCTGGGCCTGTGGTCTGCATCCAAAGCAAACAGGAAGAGAACATGGTGGGCCAGGCAGTGCCTCCATCTTTGTTTGGAGAAGGGCGTTAGGCCAAGCGGACCGTGGGTCTTTCTGCTCCAAAGGTGGGAGGTGGCTGCATAGTGAAGAGGGGTTTGGGGGAAGATACATGGCACCTGAGTACCAGCTTACAGGGGCACTCCATTGGCACATTTCAGCCCTGATGAAGGGAGATTAGGAACACATGTTACACCTGCCTTGTGCCCCTACCCCTCTCTGTCACCATGCCCAAGCTGGAGCCTTCTGCCCTCTCAGCCCACGCCACTCCCTGGGCACTTGGCCTCCCTCTGGTGCCCTTGGCCATCAGCCTGGGCCTGATGGTGGAAGAGTGGTTGCTGGTCATGCAGTGGGAAGTCCATGCCAGCCCCAGACCAGGGCCATAGGGAGCAGGTCTCTAGAGGGGCTCAGGGCACCCTCAACCTGAAAGATAAGCATCCAGTAGATTCTCCTGAAGACCCTGCACATAGACCCTGGACTCCAAAGGCCAGCTGAAAGGTGATGGTCATTCATTCTTGAAGTTATGCATGAATGAAGTAATGGATGCATTCATTCTATTCATGTGTTCATTTAGCAAGCCTTTGTGCAGGCTCAGGGAGTGTCCGGCCCAAGCCAGGGCAGGGGGTGGCAGAAGAATGAGATCCTCAAGGAGCAGACAGGCTGATGGAACAGACAGGAGTGTGAGCCCTGAGGTGTGTCTGGGTTTAATAAGAGTTCTGCCTGTGTGCCATGGTTGGAAAAGGGCTCAGAGAAGGGGTGGACAGTTCTGCCAGGGCAGGTGTAGGGGCAGGGACAGAGGTGGAGACAGAGACTAGAAAGACTTCTAAAAATATGTAACTCCTGACTTGACTTCATTCAATCATTCATGTATATGTACATTCATTTGACTATTGAGCATCTACTGTGAGCTAGGCACTGTGCCAAGTGCTGGTGAGCAGAAGCACCCTGTTGTCTGGAGCTTGCAGTCTGGTGAGGGGGACAGGCATGACTCAAGTTATCCCCACACAAATAAAATGGAAAATTGCACCATAGGATGAACATAGAGGATTGTGGTGCCAGTGGAGCTAAGGGGGGCTTGACCTGGTCAGGAAGGTCAGGGCAGCTTCTCTGAGGAAGATCTGAATGGTGAATAAGAATTACCCAGGGCAAGAGGAGAGGGAAGATGATCCTATCAGGAGGAATAGCACATGCAAAGGCCCTGTGGTAGAGGGACCATGGTGAGTTGGAGGGACTAGATGAAGGCCAGAGTAGCTCGAGTGTCATGGCAGAGGGGAAATGTGGCAAGAATGAGGCGGAGAAGTGGGCAGGCTGATTGCATCTGGGCTTTGGGTCCTTTTAGAAGGTTTGGTCTAGATTCTAAGAGCAAAGAGAAGGTTTTATGCAGTAGCATAGAATGTTCTGAATCATGTGGCAAACAGGTTTGAGAGACTAGAGTCCACAGGGTGCAGCAATGTCTACCAAAGTAATAGGCTTTTTTTTTTTTTTCCCTTCCTATTCACCCAAGTTAATATGTGTCTACCCTCTAGTCAGTGGTTTTTCCTCCCTTCCCCTCCCACCCTTGGTAAGCATCAAAGAATATTTCTTTTCTTGACTTTTTGCAATAGTGGTCTCATATAATGTTTGTCCTTTTGTGATTGACTTCACTCAGCATAATGTCCTCTAGGCTCCTCCACGTTATGAGATCTTTTACAGATCCATAGGGCTTTCTTTTTTTAATGTAATTTATTTTTTATTGTGCTTTGGGTGCAAATTTACAAAACAAATTTGTTTTACATTCCACAGTTCATGCACATTTGATTTCATGGGCCAGATTACAATCCCCAACCATAAAAAAGCTCTCCTCCCATCTCCTCCCTGGAACTACCTCTTCTGTATGCCCTTCTTATCTGTGCATTCCTGTCTGTCAGCTTTCCCTCTATGTGAATGCTGCCCCTCTGATGTCTCATGGCTGATTGATCTAAGAGGTGTATCTCCCTAGAGTAGGTGGGGGCATCTCCCTGGGGTAGGTGTTCTGCATGGAGGTCTTTCTACTTCCATGGAATTTTCCAGGCTGTAATTTTTACAGAGCAGATCACCAGGTCTTTTCTTTTGGGGAGCACCTGGTGGTTTTGAACTGTCTGCTTTTTGGTTAGCAGCTGAGCACTTAACCATTGCATCACCAGGGCTCCTGAAGGGTGATAATGAACATCAGTTTTCAGTAAAGACATTTTATTGAGTATGATACATAATACCATAATTTCTACCAAGAATAGGAAAAGAAGCGATGTTGAGTTCTGGCTAAGAAAGCAGGGAATAATTTTTAGGTTCTACTATGTGGTGTTTAATAGGTTTTCTCATTTAATCTACCCAACAAATGTGGGAAGTAAATACTAATATTTATGTATGAGGAAACAGGTTTAGAAAGGTAAAGTTACCTGCCCAAGGTCACACCTGGGAAGAGATTAAGCCTCCACCAGCCTCCTTACCTTAAAAAAAGGGGGGGGGGCACCAATAATTGAAGAAAAAATGTTTGGCAAGAAAGGAAAGTGAGGTGAACCTGGAAGAACTCCTGCTGTGGAAAAATCCATGGGAGGCTGGGACCATATCTCAGAGAAGCTCAGGGAATCCTTCCAGGAATCCAACCAAAGGGATGACCCAGCGTGTTCTTGATAAGAGCCAGGGACTGACTCCACTCTTCTCTGTGCATTTCCAACTTCTTGCTTCTAGGCAGTTCTTCCTTGATTCTAACTGCAATCCTCCTGCTGCTGTTCCCACTGACTGAGCTCTCAGGTAGATCGAAGCCACTGGGCTGCACCCTCTATCCGCGAGGCTGGTCCTGTAGCCTGCCCTTCAGCCTGTCAGTGGGCTCTGGGGCAGCTTACAGCCTGTAACTGGACACTCTTGTTTGCTCCCAGCAGGCAGGCCTGAGCTGGGCTTTGTGCGCCTGCTCCTGGATCCCCTCTCTAGAGTCCTGAGTACAGTGTGCCCCCACCCAGTCCAGTGACCTTCTCCTGTCTGAGCCCTGGTTAATTTTTGCCCAGTCTGCTAGTTGTGTGGCTCCTCCCCCTCAAGGATATAAGCCTGGCCTGAGGGTGCTGTGTTCTTGCTGGTCCTGAGCCACCCTACCCGCCTGCCCATCCTCACCATGGCCAAGGGCTTCTACATCTCCAAGTCCCTGGGCATACTGGGCATCGTCCTGGGTGTGGCAGCCGTGTGCACCATCATCGCCCTGTCTGTGGTGTACTCCCAGGAGAAGAATAAGAACGCAGAGAACTCTGGCTTGGGGCACACCACATCCACCACATTGAAACCCATCAGCCCCACCTCGGCAACATCTCCGGCCACCACCTTGGACCAAAGTAAACCATGGAACCAATACCGTCTGCCCAAGACACTGATACCTGAGTCCTACAATGTGAGGCTGAGGCCCTACCTCACCCCAAATGATCAGGGCCTGTATATCTTCACTGGCAACAGCACTGTCCGGTTCACCTGTGTGGAGCCCACCAATGTCATCATCATCCACAGCAAGAAACTCAACTATACCTCTCAGGTGACCCTGAAGGGTGTAGGGGGCTCCCAGGCCCCTGAAATTGACAGGACCGAGTTGGTTGTGCCCACTGAGTACCTGGTGGTGCACTTGAAGGGCTCTCTGGTGGCAAATGGCCAGTATGAGATGTACAGCGAGTTTGAAGGGGAGCTGGCTGACGACCTGGCGGGCTTCTACCGAAGCGAGTACATGGAAGGGGATGTCAAAAAGTAAGTTTGAGCTGGGTCTGCCTGGTGGGAATAAATCCTAGATGCCAAAGTAGAGCTGGATCCTGGGGTCCAAGTAGGGCTGAGTTCAAGGCCTTTGAACCTTCTGGACCCTTCACTGTCCCATCACTGCATCAGCAACATCTGATGGCACAGTTACTATGACATCAAAGCCTCTTCCGACAGGCTTCCTTCTCCCATATCAGGGAGGCAGGGATGAGGGGCAAAATTGGACAGACTGGAAAACTGTTTGAGGTTCAGAGGAGATAAATGGCTCACTCAATATTCTCCAACTAATATAGAGGTAGACCCTGCCAGAACTTTGATTCTGAGTTCAGAAGGACCCCTGATCTCCCACTGTCAGTTGGCCTGCTGGGGGTCCTGAGGCTGCCGGGAGTAGGGAGCAGGGTAGGGCTTTTGCTAGAACAGCCACCCATGAACCCTTCCCCCTGCAAGCCCAGCAGGACTCTTAGCCCCATGCACCCACACCCACGGGACTCTGAGATTCTGCCTGTACAACCTCTAACATCCTGGTATCTGGGCAGGGTTGTGGCCACGACACAGATGCAGGCTGCAGATGCCCGGAAATCCTTCCCCTGCTTTGACGAGCCGGCCATGAAGGCCACATTTAACATCACTATCGTCCACCCCAAGAACCTCATTGCTCTGTCCAACATGCTCCCCAAAGGTGAGTGGGTTCTGTCCAGGGGCCACATAGCCTTGGCAATCAGGAACACTGGGGCTGGGATACAGGGCTGGGGTATGGTGCACAATCCCACACCCTTGTGTGTTCCATGCCCAGGTCCCAGTGTCCCACTTGAGGGAGACCCTGAGTGGAATGTCACTGAGTTCCAACCCACGCCCAGGATGTCCACGTACCTGCTGGCCTACATTGTCAGTGAGTTCACCTCTGTGGAGGCAGAGACAGAGAATGGTGTCAAGGTATGAAGCTGGGTCCACCTTCCTTGGGATCAGCTTAGCTTGGGAATATTCCTGTTATCTCCTTCCTGCATCAGCCCCTGAATCTCCAGGCCAGTGTTTTAATTGCTCTGAGTGATCTCAGGCAAGTTCTTAAGTTCTCCGGTTCTCAGTTTCTACATCTGAAAAATGAGAATAGCATCACTCCCTCTTGAAGCTATCAGAAAGATGATGGCTCTGACCATTGTTTTCCCCCAAAGGCCCCTCCCTAGAACCCAAAGCCCCTCCAAATCCCCAAGCCCCTCCTCTGCTGACCATGCCTCCCATAGGGGAGGTTGCTCAGACCATCTACCTGCACCGGCCTATGAAGGGACACCTGACCTACCCTCCACCCTCTTTGCAGATCCGTATCTGGGCTCGGCCCAGTGCAACCTTGGAGCACCACAGTGATTATGCCCTGAATGTGACAGTCCCTATCCTGGACTTTTTTGCCAAGCATTATAACATAGCCTACCCACTGGAGAAATCTGGTGAGTGAGAGGCCTTGTGGTGGGGAGCAGTGGATGGGGCTCCACACTCAGGGCCATCCTGCCAACAGCCTCACCTCCCCAGACCAGATTGGCCTGCCCGACTTCAACGCGGGTGCCATGGAGAACTGGGGGCTGGTGACCTACCGGGAGAATTCCCTACTGTTCGACCCACTGTCCTCTTCCAGCAGCAACAAGGAGCGGGTAGTCACTGTGATTGCTCATGAGCTTGCACACCAGGTACCCCCATCATGGGGAGTGCAGAGGCAGAGGGGGCTTCTGGGAAGAGAGTCCCCTCTGACAGGGTGGCAGGGAGGAGTCATGGTGAGACAGGCCCTTTGGGAAGGGTAACTCTGTTTACTACTAATGACAACAAGGCCAAAGTGGCTTGCTGCTAACCCCCTCACCCCATAGTGGTTTGGGAACCTGGTTACTGTGGCCTGGTGGAATGACTTGTGGCTGAACGAGGGCTTTGCCTCCTACGTGGAGTACCTGGGTGCTGACCATGCAGAACCCACCTGGAATCTGGTAAGCCAACCACCCAAGAGCCCCAGGGTCCAGGGTGGGGTAGACCTGGGTTATCCTCTCCCAGGCCAGTCTGCCCAGCTAGTTAATGGTCATTGGGGATTTGCAGAAAGACCTCATAGTGGTGAATGAGGTGTATCGTGTGATGGCCGTGGATGCACTGGTCTCCTCCCACCCGCTATCCTCCCCTGCCGATGAAGTCAAAACACCAGCCCAGATCAGTGAGATGTTTGATTCCATCTCCTACAGCAAGGTGAGTCTCACCTTCTGGGATGGAGCAACAAGGGGGAGGTGGGGATTTGGCTGGGAGGGGGCCTGCCTCTCAGCCCAGTGGGCATCCAGGCCAGGCTTCTGAGACCCCTCTCTCGTGCTCACCCCCAGGGAGCTTCAGTCCTTAGGATGCTCTCCAACTTCCTGTCTGAGGACATATTCAAAGAGGGCCTTTCGGTGAGTACATCTTGGCCAATCATGAGGTGGGTGGACTTCCTTCAGCACCTGCCTTTTGCCCCTAGCCTCAACCTAAAACCATGGTTGAGTGGTGGAGCCTGGAGGATACCAGCTTTGTCCTCACCATGGCTTGTCTTTCTACAGTCCTACCTCAACAACTTTGCCTACAATAACACCAACTACCTGGACCTGTGGAAGTATCTGCAGAAGGTCAGTAACAGCCAGACCCCCTGAAGCCTTTCTGTTGGAGTCCTGAGATGCTGAAAGTTCCTGGGGGATCTGGGTCATTTTCATTACCACGCCAGGCAGGTCATTAGGAGCCTAAAAGGCTCTTCTGTAAAATGGGCACCATGATGGTGACTTGAAGGAGGTGTTGTGAGACCACGTGTCAAGACCCTGGCAGGTGGCCTGCCTCACATGGTAACGAGCTTCATGAGGGGAGCTGGTAAGTCTCTTCATCGTAGCTTAGCAATGAGGAAACGAGCTATCCCAGTTCCCAAGCCCAGCTTTCCTATACCTGGAACTTGCAGCCAACCATTAAACCTACTCAGCACTTCCAGCTGTCCTATGCCCCAACCTGCCACTCCCAGGCACAACTTTTCACAGACCATCACCCTCAATATGAACTCTGACCCTCTACTTCTGCCCGCCTTGCATTCCTGTCCACTCAGACCCCAGCAGCCCTCTTTGGTGGGGTAAATTCATACCTCCTCCCTTCCTCAGAGACTGCCACCTCCCTCACTGCCTTTCTTGGAGGTTGCCCTGCACCCTCCTGGGGTAGAGTCTGTGCACTGTCCACCATCCCTCCAACATCTCCACTCCTGCGCTGCCCTCCCCTTACTCTGTGGTTTTCCTCAGCCGTGGATGTAGCCCCTTGGGCAGGTGTTTAGTTGCTCCAGCACTAATATCCACTCTGGAATCCCACACCCCAGTCTTTCCTTTGGGCTGCCCATCCAGCTTCTCTACCCCACTGTTGCCCCCTGTCTGTCCAGTCCCCCATGGCCAGTCAGATCAGAGAGGGGAGAGGAGAGGTCCTCATTAGAGTTCCCTCTGGGCTGGTTTCAATCCAACTCAAATCTCTCACAAGCCTGGCCCAAAAGTATTGGGGGCAAGATGACACTGGCACCTCTGCCCCTATGTTCTTTTTCTACTTCCATGTGGGCCTCCTTACTTTGCTGCAATTTTCTCCTTTTTCCACTCTCTCCAAACCCAGCCCTCTTCCATGTTCAGGTTCCTCTCCAACTCTGAAAAACACCCAAGAAGACAATAAAAACCATCCCTAAGCCCATCCCCATCTGGGTTCATTTCCTTCACACACATGCACATATACATGCACACATGTGTGCACCCAGGCACACACATGCTATGCACACACCCTCCCCCTATGGCCTCTCCCTTGACCTCTTTCCCTCCTCTTTCTGTCTTCTCTTCATCTCCGCAATGTTACTCAGGCCGAACCATGAGCATGCAACACCTCTCCACAACACAGGGTGGGCCACAGTATAGGCAGCCATGTAGATTAAGCTTAATTGATATGGACTGAACCTAAGCTAGGAAGTTCTCTGTGGGAAGGCTAGCCTAGCACTGGCACTGAGACCCAGCTCCCAACTCTGCACTATCTCCCTCACAATGGTGGCCTCACGAGGTAAAGGCCAGAGTCTATAGGAGCTACAGGCAAGCGGGGGGCGGGGAGGAGGAATTGTCCTGGATGCCTGGGGGTGGGAGGGTGACTGTCTACTTACAGCCACACTGCCTGGCTCTTCCCTCAGGCTGTAGACAACCACCCATCCCTCAATCTTCCCGCCACTGTACAAACCATCATGGACCGCTGGACCCTGCAGATGGGCTTCCCTGTCATCACTGTGGATACTGACAAGGGGACCATCTCCCAGAAGCACTTCCTCCTTGACTCTGACTCCAACGTCACTCGCCCCTCAGAGTTCAAGTGAGTAGATGGGGTCCCTGAGCCAGGGGTCCCAGTGAGTCCTGGGGCAGGTACTATAATGGAACCTCTTGACCACAGTAGGGTCTGGCCTGCTGTGGTCCCAGCTCCAGTGGCCATACTCAAGCTTTCCCTCCTGGGGCCAGTATGATGGGCACTTGGTGCCAGAGCTGGGTGGAAACCAGGGGCTGGTCAGGACTGCCATCGCTCACCACATGACTCCCTGTCTCCCATTGCAGTTACTTGTGGATCATACCCATCTCTTCTGTCAAAAGTGGATCCGCACAGCAAGACTACTGGCTGAATGGCACCATGGAAGGTAACTCATCCCTGCCCTAATGGGCAACATTCCCTACCCCATACTCAGCTCCTGGCTTACATTCAGAGGGTAATGACTGACCGCAGCAAGGGCTTCCTTCATTATTTCATTCAACAAGTGGAACAGACTTTTTGTGTGTGTGTGTGATTTGGGTGAAAGTTTACAGAGCAAATTCACTTTCCATACAGCAGAACACATACACTTTGTCTCATAACATTGACTGCAATTTCCCACAATGCAACAGCTCCCCTCCCACTTCCTCCCCATAGTTACTTCTTCCCTGTGTCCTTCCCTCCCATGCACTCCTAACCCCTTAGCTGTCTCCCTGTGCATACACAGTCCTTCTATTCTCCCATGATTGATCTTTCCAAGGAGTGTGTCTACCTAATGTAAATGTTCAGCTCATATGCCTGTGTTTTGTCTGGCTTGAGCTATAGGAGTGGGTTCAATTCCAGACCTGACAGACAGCTAGGGGGCATAGTCTCAGTGGTTCCATCAGGCTCTATCAGACCAGCAAACCTGGTCCCTTTTTTTGTTTTGTTTTGTTTTAATGATTGTGAGTTTTGTGGAACAGACTTTTTTTTAGCTCCAGTCTCCACTGTGCTGCTACCTAGCTGTGTGACTCTGGCCAAGTTACTTCCCCTCTCTGGTCTCCATTTCTTCATCTGTAAAATGGGGTGAAGAATAATGTCTACTAAATAAGGTTGCATGAGAATTCATTGAGAGAATCCATATAAAATGGTTAAAACCATGCCTGGCACATAGTAAGCCCTCAAAGCACAAGCAGCCCTACTCTGCACCAGGCACTGAGGAAACAAAGGTCAAGGCCAGTCGTTCTCTGCCTTGACTAAAGTTACAGATTATGGAAAGGGAGGCAAGTAATTAAAAACACACCAAAGCTGTACTGAGTGTTTCAACAGAGGCATGTATGACTGAGCCACTGGGACAGGGGGCTAGGAGCTGAGAATAAAGGAGATTCGATTTCATGGAGAAGTCAGGGAAGGCGTCCTAGAGGAGGAGGTAAGCTGAGTCTTAGAGGAAGAGTGGGAGGTAGACAGGCTGATGAGGCAGAGAATAGTATTCCAGGCAGGGGGACTAGCAAGTTCAAGGACATGGAGGTAGGAGAGAACAGGGGACTGAGTGGGGCTAGGGCAAAATTGTGCTCAGAGGGGAGGCTGGGTCCCAAGGGCTCTACAGACTGTGAGAGACAAAGGCTATGTCCTCCTCGGATGAGGGGATGTCTGAGAAAGTGGGCAGTGGGCAAGTGATTAGGTCAAACCTTCGGGGCTGGGAGAAAGGATGGAAGGGTTGAGAGAGGAGGAGGGAGAACAGTGAGGAGGGAGACCTGAGCCCCTAAGAAGATATGAGCAGTGCTGGGGGCTGATTGGATGGGAGGAGAGGGAGAGGGGTGGAGTGCTGGGGTTTTCGGTCTAGGTGACTGGGTATGTGATGGAGCTGTTGTTGCAGGCAGGAGAGCAGGGGAGGAGGAGTGGGTAGAGGAGGCAGGAGGAGGATGGGGAAGAGAAAGTGGAGGAGGAAGGGGAGAAGGAGGAGTTGAGTCTGAGTGGCCAGGGGTGTGTTGATGGAGACACCCAGGCCACTATCAATGGCTTGGCCACACCAAGCCTGTTTGAAGTCACTGGCCAGCCAGAGATAGAGTTCAGCCCTGTAGCCCAGTCCTGCACTCTTGTTCTCTGCTCTCCTTGCCATCATCACCCTAAAGGTTTGAGGGTGAGCAGGTGCCAGGCTACATAGGAAGCTACTCTCACCAAGACCTGGAGAGAGCAGGCCTGGGGGTCAGAGCTATCACCATCCCAGCTCTGGTCCCTCCTTACAGCCCAGAGTGATCTGTTCAAAATGTCAGCCTCTGACTGGGTCCTGATGAACATCAACGTGACGGGCTATTACCAGGTGAACTATGATGATAACAACTGGAAGAAAATTCAGACTCAACTACAGACAAATCTATCGGTGGGTGTCTACTACCCCTCCTCGTATCCCCTGGCCCACACCCAGCCCCAGAATGGGCAGCAGACTATAGGGCCTGGCCCCACTGCCAGCCTGAGGTCACACACCCTGCTTCCCCTTCTAGGTCATCCCTGTCATCAATCGGGCACAGGTCATCTATGACGCCTTTAACCTAGCCAGGTGGGTGGTCCACCTTCCTCTTTGGGCCCAGCCTGGCACTGCCAGTGCTTCTTCCTATTGTGTTTCCTGTGTGCTGTGAGTGAAGTCCAGTGGGTTACCTTATACCACCCCAACCCCATCCCCATACACCACTCCCATAGTCTTCATGCCCCTGGAGACTGACAGTATGATTATCCCCAGTTCACAGATGAAAAACTTGAGATTCAGAGTACCTTGCCTGAGGTCACATAGTAGCACATGACAGCCAGACACAGGACTATCCAACTCCAAAACCTCACTGCACCCTGTGACACCAAGCTTTTCCTGAGGGCTTTAGCTCCAGTCTCCACTGTGCTGCTGCCTAGCTGTGTGACTCTGGCCAAGTTACTTCCCCTCTCTGGTCTCCATTTCTTCATCTGTAAAATGGGGTGAAGAATAATGTCTACTAAATTAGGTTGCATGAGAATTCATTGAGAGAATCCATATAAAATGGTTAAAACCGTGCCTGGCACATAGTAAGCCCTCAAAGCACAAACAGCCCTACTCTGAGGCACTGAGGAAACAAAGGTCAAGGCCAGTCGTCCTCTGCCAGGCTGCACCACTAGGTGCTTGGAGAATATGGAATGGGAAGACCAAGAGAGATGCAGTATGGATGAAAACAAATATTTGTATTTCCAGGGAGGTGCTAAGCTCTGACATGACTGTACCCATAGACCTGGGCATTCATGAAGCAAATGTGCATAGACAGGAAGAGGAGGGAGGAAGGCCCAGAGGACCAAGCCAGACAGAGAAGGAGTGTGGGCAGAGTAAAGAGCACAAACTTTTTGAATCAGCTCTCCATTGGGCTGCGTAAGGAGCTCTGGTAGCATAGTGGGTAAGACATTTGGCTGCTAATCAGAAGGTTGGTGGTTCAAACACACCAGCTGCTCCACGGAGGGAAGATGAGCCAATCTACTTTTGTAAAGTGGAGTCAGAATCAACTTGATGGCAGTGGGTTTTTTTGGGTTTTTTTTGAATGGGCTATGTGGCCTTGGGCAATTCACTTTACCTCTCTGAACCTCAGTTTCCTCACTGAGGAAAATGGAGCACCACCCAGCATCTATGACCTTCATTCCCTCATGGTGAATACTGGAGCTGGGTCAGCTGGGGCTCTGGAACCTCAGGATGGGGCAAAGAATCCAGGGTTGGGGGCCCTGAGGGCTTACTGGGTGTGACTGGGCAGGGCAGGTGTGCTGACTTGAGCCTCTCTGTTTGTCCCCAGTGCTAAAATAGTCCCTGTCACTCTGGCACTGAACAACACCCTCTTCCTGAACCAAGAGAAAGAGTACATGCCCTGGCAGGCCGCCCTGAGCAGCCTGAGCTACTTCCAGCTCATGTTCGACCGCTCAGAGGTGTACGGCCCCATGCAGGTATGGAGGAGCTCACGGTGGGGCTCAGAGACCAACTTGCTGCAGTGCCTGAAAGTGCACCCTTGGGAAGTTAATGGAAACCATATCTGGGTGGTAAAACCCTACAAGTTGATCCAAAATCAGGTCCTTTCCTGAGAGCAGGCTTAGGAAAGCAGTGAGAGAGCAAGAAGGAGGCAGGGTGAAGAAAGCAGGTCCTGAAAGGTGAGGAGGTTGGGTAGAGCAAAAAAGTGGATGCCAAGATTTCTATTCAAGGTTGCCAATTTGAAATATGGAAAATCAACACTTTCAGAAGGCACAGCAAAGGCCACTGTGCTGGTAGGTTGTCTCTCACAAGCTTCTCAGGCCCCAGTTAACTACTCTGCAAAACGAGCAGGCCCCTACCTGCTCCCCTGGGCTGTGAGGGACATGCTGATATGACAAACTTTGAAGTATTTTAATGCTGAGCACCTGGGGGACAATATTTATGAAATGCTCCATGTGGACCTGAGATGAGACTTGATGGGAGGGGATTCTATTGAGGAGCCCAAGGCTGAGATGTTCTTCCCACTAGCTCCTTGTTAGGGTCTCAGGAATAGCTGCCTCTTTGGGGGTTGAGGTTCCCATTTGGGAATCTAAGGGGAAACGAGTTTATTCAAGGTGAAGTTAGAGACATAAAGATGTTCACTGCAGTGTTATTTATAACAAACCAAAACAAACAAACAAACAAAAAAATTTCAATGTCCAGCAGTAGGGGACTGGTTAAGTAAACTGTGCATGTTCCATTAGATGGAATATTATGTAGCTATAGATCATACTTGAAGAGGCTTTTGTTTCTTTGTTTATGCAGCTTTACTCGTTTTAAAAATAATTTATTTTATTTTTTGTTGAAAATATATGCAGCAAAACACACCAATTTAAGTTTCTATGTGTACAATTCAGTGACTTGATTACCTTCTTCAAGCAATACAACCACTCTCTCTGTCCTTTTCCAAATTATTCCTTATGTTCTTAGCCAAGAACATAAACTCACTGTCCCTAAGCTTCTTATCTAAACTTTCAAGTTGCTGTTGTTAATTTGATCCCATATAAATAATTCTTTAAAATAGTATAAACATTCTTTACTAATTAAACTATCATTTGGTTTAAGGAAGACTTCAGGGAATATTTCTGATTTAAGGTTTAAAGATTATCTCAGGGCAATAGTTTTGGAGTTTATCTTGCCTCCATGGCTCTAGTAAATCAGGATTCCATGAACATTTGAAATTCTGTTCTATATTTTTTTCCCCTTTTGGTTAGGATTCTTCTATAGAATCTTTGATCTAAACGTTCAGTTGTGGTAGCTAGGCACCATCCAGTTCTTCTGGTCTCTGGCAAAGGAGGCAGTTGTTTGAAAAGTTTCAATTATTTATTTATTTTTATTTTTTATTTTTTTTTACATTATCTATTAACTTCTTATTATGGTAAATAACGTTTTAACTCTCTTACAACCTGCCATCCTCCAATTCTTCCCATCATCCTAATGTAGTTAAATTGCAATATTTGATTAAATAAGTACTCACCATTTAATTTATTGTGATTTAAATATCTCCTCTGCTGAGCCATATAGCATACTGTTTGTTTGCTTTTTTATATATATACATCTTGTACAAATTAGATAATAGGTCAGTTTTGTTCTTTCCTGGAGACATCCTCCCAGGTGCCCTCTGTCCTACAGGCTCCCCTTTTAGAGCTGCTACCCAGCTTCTGTGCTGGGCGGCCCCTCTCCAATGTTCTGTTTCCTGGATCCCTTGAATTCTTCCTTGATTCTCCTCTCTCAAAATTAGAGCATATCTTCTAGAGAGAGATTTTCTGAGGCCTTGAGTGTCCAAAATGTCTTTTTTCCAGTTTCACACTTGAGTCCTCTTTTGTCTGGGTTTAGAAACATCTAGGTTAGAAATTATTCTCAGAATGTTTAAGGTCTTGCTGTACTGCTATCAGTGTTCTTGTGTTGCTGTTAAGAAGCCCAGAGCCTTTCTCATATTGAATGTGATTGTTTTTTTCTTCTTCTGGAAGTTTTTGGACTCTTCTTTGAATCCTAGTGGGCTGTTTCATCTTTCTATCCTTTTAGTTTGGACAGATTAGGATTTTTTTTTTTTTTTTGCATTGTTTCTGTAAAGCTTTCTTCCCCTCCTTTCTGTTCATTGAGAGACCTCCCAAATTAGTCTCCATGGGTATTTTCTCTTGAGATTATTCACTGTCTCCAAAGAGTGACCTTCCCTTATGCAATGAGGCTGGTGATGTTCACTGTAGGATCAGAGTGGAGAAGGGAGCTGGGTACCACCATTCAGCTCCCTTCCCTACTCTGATCCTACAGTGAAGCATCACCAGCCTTATTGCATTCATGCAATGTAAATTTCATATAAACTTTCATCTCTGATCTTCTTTTCAGACCAGCAATCCTCCCTGGCCCCCACTATGTTTGGTGACCCCAGGACTTGAGTTTTTCTGATTTGTTTTCTCCCATGGGACACAGAGGGATGTTACCTGCTGCACAAGGCAGTAGTGGGGACTTGGGGTTGCAATTACTCCTTCTACAGATTTCAATTCTATCCCCGTTTGCAGCACCTGCCTTTCCCTTGTCCTAAGGGGGGGGGTGGTGGAAACTCACTGAGGTCGAGTTGATCCCAACTCATAGCAACCCCTCCTTGGGTTTCTGAGGCGGTATCTCTACGGAAGTAGATTGCCCAGTCTTCCTTCTGAGGAGAGGCTGGTGGGCTTGAACCGCCAGCTTTCTCGTTAGCAGTCAAATGCCCTGAAGACTGTTGCTCTAAATCCAGAGCCTTCCTAGGACTCTTCTTGGCCACTCTTCATGCTTCCCATCAACATACCCCCCTCTGCAGATGCTTTGTGGATTCTCCCCCTCTGTTGAGTCCATCTCCCTCTCTCTGCTTTCCAGCTGCCTAAACAGTGTTGACATCTCATCCACTGTTGCTTCCTTGCCTAGTCTCTTAAGGGTTTACTCCTTTTACATTTGGATGTGGTCTCAGGTGGGCACAGATGTCCACCTGCCATGTTAAATCAGAGTCTGCAAAGGATTTTAAAATATTAGGTGGGGCTTACATGACATTTTCAGTGAAAAAGAGCAGCATGCAGGATTGTAGTTATGTCAAGTAAACAAGAAAAAAGCATAGAAAGAGAAGGAAGTTATGGTTTGGGTGAGTTCCTGGGTGGTTTTTATTTTCTACATTAGCTTTTCTGTGTTTTCTAAATTTCTCACAATAAGCATAGACTATTGATGATCAGGGAGCTCTGGTAGCATAGTGCCTAAGGCATTTGACTGCTAACCAGAAGGCTGGCGGTTCAAACCCACCAGCCACTCCTTGGAAGGAAG